GACATTTCAAAATTTTGCGGCATTATATTACAGATAAAAAAGTGCGATAGTTAAATGATAACCGCTAACAATCATTAAATAGAAAAATTTACATTAACAAATATTCATATGTAGCAACATAAACTTTATGATTTAAACTAAACAGACATAAAAACTAACCAAATGAGTCAATAGTCATTATGTATTTGAAATATTTTATATTTAGTCTCCCTGAAATAGTACATTTTAGAAGATGTCAGTCAGATGAACATGGACATAATTTTAATAAGTAATTACCATAGTACAGATGTCTCAAATCCGATAAATCGTTCAAGTTATACGAATCCTCGTTAAGAAAAGATTAACCTAAGCCAGTAAAATTACTATCAGTGGAATTCGGTACAGAATAAAATATCGTATAATCACAATCACCGCACGAAACATATTCAAATCGCAAATTGTGTATATACTAGCAGTAATACCGATACACTATACCGAGTTTTGCGGTATAGTGTATAATTTTCTAAAGAATAAATAATGTTTTTTAGAAATAAATAAACATAACGCAACAATAATTAAGTACCTACTGTAATATTAATTTAAATATATTCTAGAGTATAAATATATATAAAATTTCAGTATCAGTGTAGTGCGATGGGTTTATTCCCACTAAACATTTTTCAGTTTCTGACATGTTTCAGAAACGTTTCCATTTTTCTTGAAACGTTTCATAAAAAATCCATGCAACGTTCTGGTAACGTTCTAGAAGCCCAAGATGTCCTCCCCAAAATACGTTTCCAATGAAACGTTTCAAAAAATTGGTTTCAGTAACATTCTTTTTATGTTCCATTTATGCCCTCGATATTTTTGTTTTACGTTTCAGTATATTTTCAGAAATGTTTGAGTAACATAATAATTTTATTACCATATTGTTCTCATAATGCTCTCAACTTTAGATCATTTTCATTTCAAAAGCGTTTTTGAAATAGTATAAATAGTGTGAGTATTTTTTTAAATATCTCTAATACTCCTTTGTGATATTTTTATTTGTATTGTGAATGACTTAATTCGAACTAAAAAAAGTTACATTGTATATTAAAAAAAATAAATATGCTCTTCTAGTTTGGGGATGCGGCAACTTTTACTAAGAATTTCTTTCTTTTTGAGAAGCCACTGAAAAAAGTTTCTAATATGGATTATGAATTTTGCCATTCATCGTACAAATAAAAATATCACAAAACAATATCAGAAGCATTAAAAAAAAGCTACACATTTTATATAGTTCAAATACGCTTCTGAAATGGAAATTTTCTAATGTTGAGACCTTCATGAATATGGTAACAATGACGAACTGATAATTAGAAAAAGTTAGTTATGATTATGAATCTTAAAATGGTAGGTACATGAAAAACAAATAACATTACTGAAAAATAATATAAAGTTATAATTTCTTCTACGCATGGTCAATATTACATATATCCTTTTAATAATAATAAATTATACAGCAGAAATAAGGATACAAAATGATATCTTGACAAAGTAAATATCTGTAGGTATACCTAAACTCTTTTATTTAAGCATGCCTATACACATAAACAAATATAAACATTTGTACAAAATATAAAATAAATGACGTCTATTTCACTTGATTCATCCATATTTCAAATAGTTCTCACTGACTAAGTAGTTGCTCTTCAAATTATATCGAAACGTATAGTTGTTGTTCCATTTTCTTAGTTCTTGTCCCTTGTCCTCTTGTCTGTAATAGGTAGTGGGTATAACTATATTTAGGTAGATGTGACGCAAAATTGGAAATCTCTACACATATCGTTTTAAACATTTTGCATCAATATTCATTATTTTATATGCACCTTACAATAACCACAACTGCACACACTACAAATTATCACATAAAATAGCGTCAAAGTAAAGATGAATAACAACGAAACCAAGCAAACTGACAAACCGCAAACCTAACCTAACATAATACGAATTGAAACGACACACGGGAAACAAATAAACTCGGGCTGTTACGCGCAGTCTACGCAAGTCACGAACATACATTTTTTCTAGACTTGTGTTATAAATATGCTACCACATTTTTTTTTCTAATTATGTCTTTATATAACAAAGGCAAATGAACTAACGCTTGAGAGGGATTGGGGATTGAGAGCAAAATTTAACTAATGCCGAATGTTCCATAAGATAAGCAAAAATAGCAAAGGGTTGTTCGTCTGTTATGTTTCCAAGATCGAAAGGGAATGTTTCGAGTAATGTTTCAAACTCTCTTCAATTGTAACGTTTCGGCTATGTTTCACTAAATAAGTTTTCAAGTGCTACATTTCTGTAATGAAACAGAAACGTTTCTAGTTAATGTGTCAAATGTTTAGTAAAACATCTCATTTGCAACGTTCCATTTACGTTTCGTGTTTAGTGGGTTGGCATCGATTTTTTGTATTTTATGCCATACGTTAATGCATTTCCAATTTATCTATGTACCTATTTAGAAGTATTTAAATATTTTAATAATTAACAAGTCATTGACTGCTAGGTATAATTTATATTTGATAAGATTACCTATATTCTCACGCACGTGAATTATGATAAGATATATTTTTTATTTATAAATAAACATAAAAATACAGACTAACGTGAAAAATAAGAATCAAACAATAATCACACAAATAATTAATAACTTATTAAGTACAACTCATATTTTTAAATATAAATGATTGATTTAAAATTGAAGAATACAAGCTTACAATTAGACTTTATTTACATTAAATCTTGAACTCTTCTCTGTTACGATTTGATCAATTTTAGAAAACATTTGTACACACCGTACCGACGAAGCAATAATTCATATTTTCTTTTTCATCACTTCGAACATTCTGAGGTAAATATTTTTCCATTCTCGCTATCACAGTGAATTTTCTAATTGTTTCAAATTCTCTTTGAAACCCATGTTCCTTAATTTTGAGATCTAAAAATGTGGCTTCTGCTAGTAAATAATTTTCTATATTTTAAAAACTATAACAGATGTTCAGATGACCCACGGCGCAGTCGTTAACGGCAACGCGATGCTTGAGGGAGAAGAGCCAATTGAATCAGTTAATAAAGAGCCACCGGCGAGTCGCCACGTGTTTTCTGTGTAAAGATTATATTTTCCATAACTAGACTTGTAACTTTGTAACCCTAAATAAATAAAAATCATGCAAATGGCTAATTGGCGTCCAACTCGTGCAAAGTTTCGAGTATTTAGTGTTGTGAAATTAGACTCTGAAAGAAAATGTGTGAACTGTTTTGCTTCTAAAGTGTTTAGGACAAAATACGATTCGTTTTAAAACATTACAATACATCTAAAAAACTTAGGTTATCGGTGTTTTAACGGTTTTGAACAATTAACCAAAACTTCAACTACGTTGTGAATACGTTTTCGGAGTTTCGACTTGTTGCTTCACCAGGTGGACAGACAGTCACTAAAATATCCGTGTTTCTTCTATGATTAACATGATTTAGTACATCTAAATCGTTTAGGTTACTAAAATTGTGTTTAAAGCTAACTTTTCACTCATGTGTGGCGTGACATTCTACAGTCCAGGCCCGAGAGTTTCAAGAAGTTCTACAGTACAGAACCGAGGGTTTTGGGAAGTGAAGTGTGCTTCATCCCAGGCCGGAAAGTTTCCAAGTTTGTAGTGTAGTAACCCACAGTAACGCAACAACTATCACGTTCGTACGGGTTTGTAAGTGGCAGAACAAACGTAAGTTTTTCCATATTCTTCCGTTCGATCAAAATTGTCTCAAGACGTCCTCTCATAATTACTGGCTACGTAGTAAATCTCAAGTTTCAAAAATGGGAGATCCAGTAATAATGAGTGAAGAACAATTTCAAAGACTACTTGCAACATTGACGGTGCGAAAAGATTCACCACCACCGCAAACTACCTTATCGCAGAGTGGAAATTTTACACAGTGTTCATCCCGTTTTAAAGGTGACGAACATTCGGATGTGAACGCGTTTATTGATGCTATCAAAATTTATAAAGACTGTACACATATTTCGGATGCGAATGCTCTTCGAGGATTGCCAATGTTACTCGATGATTTTGCAGCAACATGGTTTCAAGGAGTTAAAGGCACCATACAGACGTGGAGTGAAGCCGTAACCTTGCTGAAAAGTACTTTTGGCCAACAAAAAGCTCCGTATCGTGTTTACCGTGAGTTATTTGCACATGAACAGGACATAAAGACTTCCACATATGTGTTTATTTGTAAAGCTCGTTCTTTACTTACAAACATACCTCAAGGTGACAAGGGGAAGTTCATAGTGATATGATGGTTTACTTCACAAGCGAATTAGGGAAAAAGTGCCGTATGACAAAGTAACTACTTTTAATGAACTTCTAACAGAATCGCGATTAGTTGAGGAACTTTTTGATAAAAACTTTGACAAAATCATGGATTCTAGTGACAAAGACAGTTCCAAACGTCCTCGCTGTGCATATTGTAAGAATTTGGGACATACCAAAGACCAGTGTCGTAAACTACTTGCAAAGGACTCCGGTAGTGTGTCACAAACCTCGATCAAACCGGTGACAGATAAGACCACAGTTCAATCGACCCAGAATACAGGAAATACTATGCAGCAGCAGAGTGCACCTACACCGTCTACGTCATTGACTCAGAGTTTTTCATGTTATGGCTATGGTAGACAAGGTTATGTTCGAGCAACTTGTCCCACCTGTCGTACTGTTGAATCTAATGCTTTAGATTTTTGTGAAGTGATAATTGATGACTTGATTAGTCCACGACCTCGCCCTTATTTGTACCTCAGTGTTCTTAGTTTTAATGGCTCTGCAATTTTGGATACAGCCGCAAAACAAAGTTTTGCAGATTCATCTTTATATAGTATCTTGAAACAGAAAGGTCAACCTTTTAAACAGGAAAATGTTTTTATTAAATTAGCAGATGGAAGTGGTAAATGGAATAATATTTTGGTGACACGTGTTGATGTGCTGCAGGGTCACACGATACCAACCAATTTTATTATTTTACCTGATGCCGAGAATACCTCTACTCTACTGGGAATTGACTTCATTGAAGATGCAAAGATTGTTCTTGATATATCTAATAAAATTTGGCATTTTACTGATACTGCTGATATAAAGAACAAACTTCCGTTTGAAGTTTTACCAAATTGTCAAAAGATTGAAATTTCGTCGTTCGATAACCTCAGGTCAGATGAAGGCACGATGCTTATTGATGAACAGCGCAATCGTTTAAACGCACTTTTGGAAGAAAACCAAGATATCTTCGAGATGGGGGGAGAACCAACTCCCTATGCAGAACATTATATTAACACCGGTGATCATCCTCCAATCTCCACACCACCTTACAGGATGACTACTGCGAAGAAGTCAAACGTGAGTTAGATAAGCTTTTAGAGGAATGCGAGAGCCCATGGCAGCTCCTGTTGTGCTCGTTACAAAGAAAGATGGTGGTACACGTCTTTGTATCGATTATCGTCGCTTGAATTCGGTAACCGTCAGTGATAGTTACCCGCTACCTCGCATAGACGATCTACTGCATGCCACAAAACGAACATTTTACATGACCACTATAGACTTTCGTTCTGGTTATCATCAAATCAAAGTGAATGAACAGTCTCGTGATAAAATAGCTTTTGTAACACCGTTTGGCACATATCGTTATCTACGTTTACCGTTCGGTTTAAAAAATGCGCCAGGAACGTTGCAGTGATTAATAGACCTTTTCCGTCGCGGACTTGGTGATGTGTTAGTACTAGCTTATTTAGATAACAGTATTGTACTTTCTGAAACTTTTGAAAAGCACATTGAAGACTTGCAACTTCTGATAGCTCGACTCCGACAATTTAAGCTTCGAGCAAATCGGGAAAAATGTGTTTTCGCGTGTGAAAGCGTAAAATATTTGGAAAAAAATCCAGAGAAAACTTTAGCCATATCCAATTTTCCTCGGCCCCGTAATGTAAAGGACGTACAATCATTCTTGCAGACCTGCTCATGGTACCGCAGATTTGTAGAGAATTTCGCAGAATTATCTCGACCTCTTTGTAATTTGACTAAGAAGAACGCGTCATTTAAATGGACCGATGTTGAACAAAACTCATTTGACATTCTAAAGCAGAAGTTAACAACAGCTCCAGTCCTCAAGCAGAGTGACGAAACAAAGCCATACACTATTAGAACCGATGCTAGTGGATATGCATTGGGAGCAGTGGTGAAGGTGATAACGAGCATCCGATAGAATATGCCAGTAGACTGTTGACCAAACCTGAAATGAACTATACCACTACTGAGAGAGAAGCTCTGGCAGTTGTGTATCCGTTATCTAAATTTCGTGGTTATGTTGAATCATCACCTATAACTATTCAAACCGACCACCAACCTTTAAAATGGTTGCTATCTTTGAAGTCACCGACGGACAGGCTTGCTCGTTGGGCATTGACTAGCCAAAGCTATGATATAAAAATTGACTACTTATCTGGCAAACGTAACGTTATAGCCGACACATTATCTAGACCTCCTTGTGTATACGATAACCATGTTACATGTGACGTATACAGGGTGATTCAGTCATAATGTCATTAATTTTAACCACGTATTCGGAAGGCTTAATAAAGACAGAAAATCGTAAAAAAAAATTTTTTACTCGACTTTTAAAAATGAAGGAAATCAACCCATAACTCCCGCTACGAGGGCTGCCCTGCCGATGCCCGGATGCTCGGAAAATTTTGTAACGTAATGTCACGAACAGTTGTCGGCTAAAGGAACAGCGTTGCCAAGTTCAGGTTCAAGCTCGCCAGGTTAGTATTTGACATATAACCGACCACTTCGTACACTCGATGCACCTGGGCGACTACAGCTACTACGAAAACAGCCGGTATTTTAGATTTTAAATTAAATTTGTTGATACGATTTTCCTTTGATAAAAGACCGACAACTTTTTGCTACTACACTCGTATTAGTCTAGGGGCTAGGGGCCAGATAGGTTTCCGTAGCCAAACAGAATTCCACGGCTGCAAATAACTTATTTTTAAGTATTTTGACTTCTCGAAACCAAAAAACTTGGTGGCAAAGCCTGAAAGTGGTCAGTTTAATTGTTGTTAACAAATTGAATGTTTAAATGGCTGTAAAAAGTTTATTTTTATAGCTAGTACAATTTTTTATCTGTTAATTATTACGTTTTCTCACAACAAACATATATTTTTTTGAAAATTAAAAAAAGATTAACTTTAACCAAAGTTATTGCAAATTTAGTGCAAATATATTACATTTTCCGTCTCTGCGCGCACCAATTTTACCATATCTCTGGTTCAATTGGACGGATTGAGACGCACATCTCATTTTAAAACTTAAACTTTATTTTACAAGATAGGTAAGTTCCATTGATTAATTAATTTATTTAAAAATTAATGGCAGCTTAGAAAGTTGTGGAATTTCAACGAAAATGTTGGCTTTATTGGTTTATAAAACTTTTTTTGTTATTCAATTTTTATGAAAAGCCAAAAAAGTTACCGGTTATTGTTCCTCGCATCCTAACAATGATTTCATGCCTTGCTTGATTGTTAGAATGCAAAGAACAATATCCGGTAACTTTTTTGGCTTTTCGTCGAAGTTGAATAATAAAAAAAACCTTATAAACAATTAAAACCGGCATTTTCGTTGAAATTTCACAACTTTCTAAGATGCCATTAATTATTAAATAAATTAATAAATAAATGGAACTTAGAACCAGATATGGTAAAATTAGTGCGCACGGAGACGGAAAATGTAAGAAATTTGCACTAAATTTGCAATAACTTTGGTTAAAGTTAATTTTTTTTAATTTCCAAAAAAATACATATTTGTTATGAGAAAACGTAACTATTAGCGAATAAATTGTACTAGCTATAAAAATAAACTTTTTACAGCCATTTAAACATTTAATTTGTTGATAACAATTAAACTGACCACTTTCAGGCTTTGCGACCAAGTTTCTTTGGATTCAAGAGGTCAAATATTTAAGAATAAGTTGTTTGCACATCTGGCTCCTGGACTATATGGTGCACGTGTGCAAATTAAAACTGGGTTAAAAGGTTACTGAACCACAGGTTACCCTAGGTCGGAAACACGACGTACCGAGTTGTTTATTTGTCTCCGTCCCATTGTTTTTTTATGGAATATACAAGTCTCTCTTCTAATTGCAGTCAATATTTAAATACTGCATACAATTTATCCTCTCTTTATAATTTATCTAGTGAGTGTTGGTTTTTTATGACATTATTTCTGTAACGAAATTGAAATGGTTATGAAATGAAATTTAAATTATTTGAACTTTTGGGGTTTTGTAACTTCAATATTAAATCTTATTTAAAGTGAAACAGCTAATTTCTTTGCAGCCATAATAGTCACATTTGGTCAGATGAAACACACTACTACCCGCACACTACTCGTCGGTGGTATAGCTTTCAGAGGAGATTCGGTGTCAATGTCAATGGCGATCGTTTAATTGGGCCGCATTTTCTACCTGAACATCTGAATGGGCCGCGTTACTAATTTTTAGTAGAATTGTTTGAAAACCTTCCCCTTCGGGCTTACAGCAAATGTTGTTAAAATATTAAAATTATGATGCTAATAAAAACTGATTTTTGGCAAGGCATGCTCAGACCTCGAGGTTCTTGCTGGGCAACAATAACAATTTAATATGTTGATTGCATAAATAAAAAATAATTTATAGCATTTTAAATTATTATTGGCTGACGTGAGCAAAACCGTTTATTTATTGTCTTTATATGAGCGAAAATATATAAATATGGCAACGTTGCATCTAGGGCGCGTTGTTCATAGGTTCATATCGTAGCCGTGCATAATATTGTGACGTCAGCCGGTCAGTAACAGCCTGAAAAGGGGGTTAAATAATGATTTGAAAATATTTTTTTGCAGCTTAAATATGCATTTAAATTTTTTTTTAATCACGCCATCGTATTATACTCATTTTTCTCTATCTGCTGTTAAAATTAATGACATTATGACTGAATCACCCTGTATACTGTTACCATAGAATTACGAAGACGAACAGCAACAGATATACGTCAAGAACAATTGAAAGATCCGGACCTAAAAAAAATCATTGATGCTTTTGAAGATGTGCAGAATAGTGAATTCAGCAAATGAAAAAAGATGATTGTGAAGAAGCTCGGTTAGTTGTTCCCTCCCATGAAAGAAACAACGTTCTGAAAGAATATCACGATGACCCTACTGCCGCCCATTATGGTGCTGAGCGTACCTATCAACGCATCATAAAAAGATATTATTTTCCCGGAATAAGAAGATTTATCTTTGAATACGTGAATAGTTGTCCTGATTGCCAAAGATATAAAGCAACTAATCAGAAACCAACAGGATTGTTATAAACACTTGGATATTTGCTAAACAATATGCTTCATCGAATTTAAGGAAATATCGTTCATATAAATTGTTAGAAAATATTATTTACGAAAACGCAGTTAAAAATAGCCAATGAATTATATACCTGTAAATAGCTATTTTTTTTAATAGACTGCGTAATTTTTTCCAATTTTTTTGGTAACATGGCAATCAATGCGCATGAGCATTTGCAGTTACTTTAAGGAAATAAAGAATAAATTGAAACAATTAAATGTTAACTAGCTCTTAAATAAAATAAAAATAAAAAATCACTAAGTGAACGGTTATAAAGGTAAAAATAAATTTGCTGACTCAAGCTCTTTAAAATCCACTGTGATGCTACGGTGAAAAACATTGGTTCAAACAAAATGCATGTGTAATGTTTTTAAAAAATTTATGTATTCTCTTAGTAGTTCTCGTATTTTTTTCTCTATTTTACAATTTTTTTTAATCTTATCAAATGAATTCCAATACTTATTAGACACACCATTTTTATGATGATTTCGAATTACGTGCACTTTTGTACTGAGTGGGTACTGCATACAATTTTTCTGTCATTTTGAGTGTATGCCTTATAGCCCGGAAGCCAGCGACCGTTTTGAGTAATTTGGCAAAAGCAGAAAATTTTTCCTACGCTTCATTTAGTATTACTAGTAAGTGAATCGACCTCCAGCTCGTGCAGTTCCGGGGGGTGTAGCTTCGGCAACCTCCTACACACGTAAAATAATAATAAAAAAACTAATACCGCAAAAGCCGAGACTTTGCCGACATGTTGATTATGTTACAAACAAAAGAAAAAATGCAATCAACTGACTTTAGACTCAGCTTTTTACCTAAACAAGTCAAAAATATGCGCTAGGTAAACTGATACCGAAAAAGCTGAAATTTGGTAAAGTGATAGTCAACTTAACCAGTTATACGAAAAAAATTGTCCGCTGAAGTTTTTGCGGTGTATAAGTGCTCAGCTGACGAGTTGA